GGGGGGGGGGGGGGGGTCTGTCCTTGTGATCATATGCATATATGTGAACGATTATTGAGTGTGTTTGATGATATAGCAGAGGACGAGAGGTTCGAAGCGGACAAAGCTCAGGTGGTGAGGGAAATTGCAGGGCTTGAGCCAAGAGATCGTGCATGACCCCCCCTCCTACACTGTCTACAAGGGGCTCTCTCTTTCTTTCTTTCTTTCCTGCACTGTAATTTTGGAAGACCAATTTTTTGAAGCACCAGTTGATGTTAGGTTACACTTGTCTGCTCCTCTCCGTCTAAAAATCAGGACCCATCTATATATATGGATATATACATACATTCACATGTACACTCCTGTGTCATTAAGGGAAAATCCCAAAAAAAATTATCGAATTTGGAGATAACTGACATATTAATACCGAACTTTTCAAATTTTCAAATTAAATATGAATTCGTCCATTTTGACACAAAATACTGAACTTGTAAATTTTTTACAAAAACTTCATCGACGTTAAACGGTGTTAAATCGATTAACGGTTGATCTAACACTCCACATTTCGTCATCCGCCACATCAGATAAAAATTTAAATTAAAAAAAAAACAAAAATAAAACAAACTAAAAATAAAAAAATAAAATAAAAATAAAAATAAAACTAAAAATTTAAATTTAAATTTAAAATTGAAACTGAAATTTAAAATTAAACAAAAAATAAAAACAAAAAGAAAAATATACAATATACAATATATATACACAAATATATATATATATACATAAAATAGTAAATATTAAATATATATATATATGTATGTATACATATATATATTTAATATTTACTATTTTATGTATATAAATATATATGTGAATTTTGAAATGTTTATTATATTTTTAATTATTTGTAATGTAATTACAATAATTTTAATATATATATATATATAGTTTTGTATATATTGCATATTTTTTATATAAATATATATATATACATGTATATATATATATATATATAGATTTATAAATGTATATATGTGTATATATTTACATGTGCATACATATATGCACATATATTGTATATATATACATGTGCATATATATGTATATACACACATTTAATATCACAATATATATACAATATATACATATTCATACATATATGTGTATATATATATAAATATACATTTTTTATTTTTATTTTTTCTTTTTATTTTTTTTTTATTTTTTATGTTATTTATAATTATTTTTATTTTTAAAATAAATTCTTATCTGATGTGGCGGATGACGAAACATTGCGTCAATCGGCACGTCAGATCGTCCGTTAACTGATTTAACGCCGTTTAACGTCGATGAGATTTTTGTAAAAAATTTACAAGTTAATTATTTTTTATGTCAAAATCAAGAACTCATATTTAATTTGGAAATTGAAAAAGTTCGGTATTAGTAATTTTTTTGGGATTTTCCCTTGGAATAATATGGAATTTGTCAAAATGGGTTTATGGGGGCATGGTGCCTATGTATACGGAGAACCGCATGTTTGTAGGTACAAAACCCGAATATTGTGGGGGGTATGTATAGACAAATGAAAACTAGAAAAAGGGAGATTGGAGCAAAAAGCCCTAAAAATGCCTCTAAGCAAATGGGTGAGGCAATTATGGCAGAGCCTCCTCCAGCTTGATGACATGATACATGATTAATACCACCAAGTGAAAGCTTCAAGCCAAAAATAAAATAAAATAAGCAAACATTCCCATTTATTTGATGTTTTGGATCACATGCCTCCCTTCCTCATCCTTTCTAATTCGTCGACAACATACGATGAAATTAAAGCATCACCCCTTCCCCTTAGGAGCACATGTTCAAGAGAGAACCCATAAAAAACCCGAAAAGGCCGACCAAGAGGACATGCATCCACGAGAGATGTCCAGGCCTCTGCAGTTCCTGCATTTCATCACGTGCACATATATATGCTTCATACATACTTCCATAGGTCCGATCTCAATCAACGCTTTCATTGGTTTAATTACTTACGAGTTCTTTGCGAAGCCTGTTGCTTTCCAGAATTGCCTTCTTCTTTTCCTCTCTCAGCCTATAAATGGAAGCCCTTGCCTGCGCGCACCATTCACAATTCAAGATTGCAGAAGAGCAAGACAGAGAAACTGCTGGATGATTGTAAACTCAAAGAGTACCACCACCAGTTTTACCTCCATAGGTATAGATACGTCCTCAAGTGCAAGCCGCTCACAAGTCTCTACAGCCTGACAAGTAATCATTGGGTCAAAAGCACATGAAAAAAAAAACTAATAACAACAACAAGGGAGAAAGAGCACAGACAATAGAAATTTCAGAAGCAGAAGCCTCGGGGTAAGAAGAGACAGGAGAAGGCCGATGTGGAGGTGGAAGGACATAAACCACTGGCAATTTACACTCTTCCACCACGTTTCCACCCTTCTTATTGAACTACAAAAACAACAAATGCAGCCCAATTAACAGGACAGCCACACAACTTAAACCAAGGCAAAGAACATCGAGGATATATATATACTACCATTTCTGAATTGGGAGTCGAACCCTTTGGCGCCTTAACACTCTGCAAGAGAAACTTGTCCATGCATTGCATGTCAGGAGGGGCCTCTTTCTGCGCTTGCATGGTTACTAAAACACACCAATTAACAGCATTACATTTAATTTTACAAATCTGAACGACAGCAACAATGAAAAGAAGAATACCTATGATGTCACATGTGGATTCAGGCATAACTATCCCCATGTTGGGTCGAACACAATACTTCTTGGGGTTTGTTGTTTTTACCTGACCACAACAGTTAACCACCATTGTCACCCAGATCCATTTACTTACACAGTGTTTATACGCGAAACCAAAAAGAGCACCCAAATGGAATCAAATCATGAAATCAATATAATAAATTTAGGAGGAGTGCATACGTTACCTTGAATGCAACATAGCTATCGGTCTTATTCGACAAACGGACAGAACATGAGATCCGTTTCTTCAATTCAACTACATTGATTCTCAAAAAAGACATCAGGAAAAAGGCATAGCGAATCAGACGAAAAAGGAACAAAAAAGGGTCAACTCACATGGAAATTTGAGCTCAAGCGGCTCGACATCGAGAAGCTCTCCGGTGCTCATCTTCCAACACAAAATGACAAAATGCTTAGGGAGAGGAGAGGACTCAACACTCCATTATATTGAGATGGGAGAATCCTTTTTTTTTTTTAGGGAAGGAGAAAGGCGGCGCGGCCTTCTCCTGCTGAGCACGTGCCAAATTCTTAATTGTTTCTAATTTAACCGGCAGATCATCTCCCTCTCTCTCGACTAAACGGCATGATGTTTTTTTTTTTGAAATGCCCTCCCCACTCGGGCGGCAGTATCCAATTAAACTAATTTACTATTATAATTGAGTGAAAACAACAAAATGTCTCCCTTGGCTCTTGCTACAGACTGAACGACCATAAGCAGCGAATACCAAAATATAAAAAGCACACGTGAATATAAAGACACGACTACTCCACTATGTATAAAATCTCAGTTTTTTTTAACACAATAATTTTCTTTTACCTCGAAACTAACAGCCAATCACAATGGTTTAAAACGTGTAAATAGGCGACAAAATGCCAGATTTAGGAGAGGATGGCTCAACCAGTAAGTGGATATGCGTAAAGAGTGCTCCATCCCGGGTTCAAACCTCCACCCTGACAAATCACATAATATAAAAAAAAAAAGTGCCAAAGTTCATACGAAGAAACAAGAGGGAAGGAATTAGATTGCCATGCATGATGCATGTATATGTATGGGCTGGGCTTTTTCTTTTAATGGATCAGGCCCACGTCCAAAGGGTCAACGTGGGATGGGCTGGAAACATATACAGGTGTCAGGTGGTGCATCCAACCCGCAAATTCCCAGCTAGCGCCGCGACGAGCTTCCCAATGGCGGCGGCCACCTCTCTCCGTCTGACGCCACTCTCTTCTCTCCGGTTCCTCTCCTTCTTCCCCAAATCTAATACGTGGGAAGTAACTTTGGAGAATTTAGGAGGAAGTTGAGAATTGGGGACATAAAGGGAGGATCCGACGAAGGATTGGGTCGGGTCGGCAGACCCTGAGCGTAATAGGTTGGGTGCGGGATCTCCGGGCTCAGAGCAGCGTCACCTTCATTGAGGTAATCCCTCAACCTTGAATTCTTGCTTCACAACTGTTCGGATAAATGACGGTTCATGCCTCTCAAACATGCAATGTGTGATGAACTCGGATGCACAAGGGTATGATCAGGTAAATCCATTCACCTTTGAATGATTCTAACATTCCATATTGATCCTAGGAAAGTGTTTCTCTCACTCTTCAGTTTTATGCTTTAAAGACTCTTTACCTTATCACATAGGAAGTGAAAGCTTTTTAGATCAAACGGATTTAGTGCGGATGCGACAATAAGATTCTTACCACCCATCTTTTTGCCCAATTCTAAATGTTGTTCGCAATTTGCTTCAGACCTGAGAGTCCTTAGCTTTTGATATCAATTCAATGATTCCTAATCCTGGGGGGTTGCCAAATTCCTTAGCTGAATAATCGGTACAATAAAAAGCGTCATCTTGAGGGAGGCTTCCCTCCATATCGATGGTAGAAATGGGTCTTGAATTTCTTTGTCTTTCTGTTTTGTTTGATTTTGTTAGCCTATATCACTTAGGGGCTGAGAATTCATCAATTTTTCATGTATGATTCAATGTGTGTGCAAGGTTGTAATTTTTAATCCTCGGTTTCTACCATATTCATGAGCTGAACAATAGCTAGAATCTGGTATGGTCTTGACCGGTGCTTCCATATCAGTACAAGGGACTCTTGTGGCTAGCCAGGGATCAAAACAAAAGGTGGAACTAAAGGCCGAGAAGATTGTTGTGGGCTTGTGGCATGTGCTTGCTTTTCAATGTACTCGATTCTTTATGATTTATAGTTATGCATCTTTAAATTCTTTCATTGATGCCCTACTTTTTCCTAGATTGGCAAATGCGATGCTTCGTATCTGATTCAGAAGAAACGAATTAGCAGAGAATTCTTGAGAACCAAGGCTCATTTGCGTCAAGAACAAACACTTTTGGGGCGGTAATTTTTATATCTTAACGCTATTCTTCTTTATGGAGAAAGTACCTTTTGGTTTTTCTTTTCTACAGTTGAAGTTTTTCTGTCTTTTGGGTACTTATGGTACTCGAGGCTTTCTGTTCAACTAATTGATGATGTTTCAAGTATCTGCGAAATCGCGACTACGTCCCTGAGTTGTTTTGTACACGAGAAGAATATCTATGTCTAGGAATACATACTTTTGGGGCTATGTCTTTTCTCACTTCATATCATTGGTGTGTAAATTCTAGAGTATCGTGTTTACTTATTTTTAGAGCAACGTGCTACTTTTTTCTGGCCCCATGTTTCTCTTGTCTGGACATTTATAGGTGTTGTTCTTCACGTTCTATTTGGATGCATTTAAATTCTTTTTCTCTTATGTCATGGAAATGTATTGTATCGAGCTTCAGGTCGCAAGAGTTAGGAATGCTTTGGCGTATTCTACACACTTGTTCTTTCAGGGAAACGGGTTCATCTGGGTGTCGAGTCCGATCATCACAGCTTCGGACTGTGAAGGAGCAGAGTTTAGGGTTTAGGGTGTAATATCACAAATCGAGTTAGGGACATTGTCCCATTTGAATCAAAACAACCTGGATGTGTTATTCTTCTGTTCAATATCACTCCAAAGCTCACAAATCAAAACAAATCCCGTTCCTGATGCATCCTCTTATATTTTTTTTTTGGCACAAGTTGTGCCGGAAAATGTCTATTATGTCAAACTACATATACAACCTCTGTCACGTCAATTTTTACATGTCATAATCCATAAAGAGACTCAGAATCAGTCGCAATGGACACTACATTTACATATCTGCAAAACAAATCCCGCAGCCATTAAAATCCACACCCCCTTGCAACCATTAAACCCCGTTTCTTTTCCCTTCTACATTCCCTACATTTACATATCTGCAAACAAAGGCAAAACATTGCGAAGAAAAAACTAATAACACAACCCAAGATTGTCCATACACCACTAACCTTTTCTTTTCCTTTTTCCTTTAGGGATTATTTGCAATCGGTTGTGGTCTCTCTAGCTGCTATTCCCCTGCCAAGAACAAGAACATTGAAAGCCGAACATGCATAGGAATTGGGGCTATTGCACTACTGGAGGCCCCCATCTTACCTCTAGAGCTACTTTTGCTCTCATATTGGGGACCTTTGCCATGCGAAACTGTTGGAATCTTCGAGGTGACCATCGAAGATTGCAGTCCTTCAAGTAGCTTGTAAGTTGTAACCAACCAACACACAAGTTTAAGTTAACCTCTTACAGGATCATGGTTTGAAATTATCGAAAGGCATCAGTTACTAAAGCCCCTGAATCGATTGGCAACGACTAAGTACATTTCACATATGACATGAAAAAATACAGAAAAAAAACAAAGCAATAGAGAGATTAAAGGAAGTGGATGCATGCAAGAAAGAATATACAAGCAGGTAGCTAGAATTCTGTATTATTCTGTAAGACATGATATGTAATGCTGATCAAAATTAGCAGAGATGCGTGTCTTTATATATAACCTACATGTGTGTAGATACTTACTCTGTAGGTTGGCTGAATCCTGCGGTTAGATCTACGTGGCTCTACGGTGTCAGACATCTTTGAAGAGTTCTCACCCAGCACTTTGTTCTCTTCAGTCTTGGCTAACTTTCCAGCAGCAGGAGCCGATTTCCCTTTATTAATGCGTTCAGCTTTTAAGCTTGAGGAAGTTTTCCTCGAGGAGGGAATGCCTGAGGTATCACGTGACAATATTGCAGTTTGCTCCTCTGTTGATTCCCCAGATTGGATATCCATAGATATTCCAGATACAGTACCCTTTTGCTCAGCTTTCTGATCAGCAGCATTACCGGATGAGATATTCTGTGACTCCTCTTTCTGGGCTATATTTTTAGTTGCTGCAGTCGGTTTGGATGTGGGTTTGAAAATTTTAGCCTTGGATACAGTTGCCTGTCTTTCTCTTGGATCAATTTTAGAAGTATTTCTCCAGGACTGTGATCCGGAACTTTGGGGCATTATCGCCTTGGTAGACTTAGCCGGTTCATTTTGTTGCCTCGTTTTACAGGCAGGCTCTGACACATAGTGTTTGCTGACGTCCATGAACTTCCTCTTCTTTCCCGGCTTAGGAACGCCGAAAATAACTCTGGATCCTTGCTTCTGCAAGCCAGTCCTTTTCATCCGAAGGGGATCGGGTTTGATCTCGTCTCTTGTACTCCTACCGAGATTAAATGCTTTCTCCGAAACATCCAGCACAAGAAACCCGGTCTGAGGCGGTTTCCCTAAGTTCAGAACATCTACATTCTTGGGACTAGTGTCCTTTCCTTCCGCATCATGAACAGGGCTTCTCACTCTAGGACGCTTCTCATTCGGTGTATCACCCTACAATCAGATTTGTTTGTCTAAGCACATACATAGCAACAAATATTAAGCTCCTAGATCCATTTAAGTCAATAATACCTCTCGCAATGAGCTTATGTTGGCTTCGGAACCCGAACATTCAATCCACCTTCCATCCTTCCACACAAGAGAAGGAAGAAGATTCCAAGATTTCACCGCAAGTGTTTCCCTTTGCACTGCAGGGATCAGAAGGAAACAAGTAAGCCAAACAAACAGTTTAGAGCTTGACAGAAAAGCAAAATGTTCCAACTTTCTTCACCAAACATAAATGCTGTCTATACACACCTGGGAAATGGACAGTTAGCGTAGTTTGGTCTTTCTTGTTTTTTTCAGAAATTACACCTTCCCACCAGCTGGGGGACAAAATGAAAAAAAAAATGTTTAGATAATTTCCAAAGAGTGCTAAGCAAGGACTATGAATGAGATTCAACAAACGAAATTCCGCAGCTAAAAAATGGTGGAAATAATACATAGAGAAGACAACACTGAACACTGTTGCCTCTATTGATAGAGGCCGTGTTTGCAATTAGCATACGGCTACAGGCCAACAAATAAGAAAAAAAGTCATTACCTGTCGTGTACCCATGCATCCACCTTATCGCCGACAGACCAAGCACGATCCCCAGTGGAAGATCTACGTCTCTTCCTTGTTCCTTCAAATGGCATCACAGTAATAGAACGAGCCATTCTTAGTTTAGGGGCTACATCACCATCACCTTCGAGGGCTACCCACTCTTTCAACTTGTTTGCCCCTGAAATATGATAAGTAAAAGAGAATAACAAATCAAGACTAGTCCGTCAGAACCAGAGCTTCTTCATAGAGAAGTTAAAGTACATGAGATCCTTCAGTTAGAATTGATTTCACGTTCTCTCCATGGAAAATACAGAACATCACATGCAAAAATATAATTACGAAAAAATGTTATCATATACCAATACTTGGATATTTTTCTTTAAAAAATCGTTGTTGTAAGATGGGAAAACAGGAAATGGAATCTCGCCTGCCATGCTACAGCACTACCATATGCAAGACACTTTATGGAATAATATAGAGAATAACAAGTGGTAAAATCAAAACACACCCTCTGAAGAAAGTTCATTGTAACACACGTAAGCTTCACCATCCTTCAAGCTTAAAACATTAGCAGAGTACCATCCTGTTCTTAATCCAGGCCCTTCCTTGTAAACCTACACGTATGGATCATATGCATCATGCATGTCATCATTCGGAGAGAACACCATAGACTAACTAGCCAGAATACCAACCCTGAATTAAAAGTTGACAAGATTTATGCAACAGAAAGGGCAAAAGAAAGAAATAGAGCAAAAAATAATAGTGAAGCGCCAAGTACACAAACCTCCACACTGGAACCCTCCTTGATGTCATTTCCATTTGCAGTTTCTATGATCCTTTTACTTTTAGTTTGGGTGTCGACTGAAGACATCGGTGCAACCTCTGGTTCCGGGACAACACTGTTAGCCAATTCTCTCGCCTTATGGTACTTTAGTCCCTTTCTCTTGTTTCCAGACGCAGAAACCAGACAAGATACAGTGTCTGGTGATTTCACAGGGTCACCCAACCTGGTGCCTGCACCTGTGTGTGTTTGCAGCGCTAGAGTTGCTTTCTTCTTCAATGCACCCCTTTGACAAGGCTCTAATTCCTGAGATACTTGGGTATGTCTCCAGTAATCACCTGGACCCACCTCCACCAGCTCATTCAATAAGAGAGGATCACCCAGAGAGACAAGTTTTCCAGCTTGGGAAACAGCCTCTGCTGCGAGCTCAGCTGCTTTTACAATAGCATCCATATTTTCAGCTTGCTTTGTGGCAGCTGTGGCAGCTTCAACCCTCTTCTTAGCAGCCTCCCTAGCAGCAGTAAGAACCAAATTAGAACTAACTGATGCCCCACTACCCATCGAGATAGATGCAGGAGTAGCCTGGTCTAGAGTTTTACCAACTTCTAATTTAGATATATCAATACCCTGATCAGAACTATTTGAAATTGCTGCTTCCTCAGACATTAATTTAGCTTGCAATGCAGCACTTGCTGCGACATTAGCTGCAGCAGCTGCAGCCTTTGCAACTGCAGCAGCAGCAGCTATTGCAACTACTGCAGAAGCTATATTGCCTTGATTTTCTGGTTCAAGTCCAGTATTCTTCTGTTGGTCTACCTGCTTCCACTCATATTGACTGTGACTAACAGCTGCAGCAGCAAGAGTAGAGGCATCCTCTGCGTGTCTCATTGCTTCCTTAAGTTTACCAATGGCATCCTCTGACAAGGCAGACTTCTGTTCCATGCCAAGGTTCCCAGACACCAGATTACCACTAAGAATCGGGGATGATAAAGATGAACTCAGTTTCTCCAGGGAGAATGTAGATGCCAAGTTCATAGTGGTTCTCCCGATAGAAACAAGGTTAGTAGGGGCAGTAGCATTAGAGACAAGATTTCCAGATGTGAGGGTAAAAGGAGCAGACGCTGTAAATGTAACAAGAGGTGAAACAACCGATTCTGTCTGTTTGTGAGAACTCAATATGCTAGAACCAGGCTCCTCAGAAACTGGAATATTCTTCCGCTTCCTCGCTTTCACCTCAGTAGAGTGTTGACTGGGTGCTACCACCACACTCTTTGGCACAAAGAACGGAGTCCCTTTAACAACACACCTAGAAGTTACGCTTTGAACATTAGGATCTTTCTGAAGATGCTTTGCACCAGAGTGGGACAAAGATGTTTCTTCCATGGGCGTCAATTTTACAGTCTTGGTGATCGGAAAAACAGAGAAACGAGAACCAACATCAAATGCACTGGTCTGTGGAGAAGTAAGCCAGGGGCTGTGGTAAGGGGTCGGTAATATCCATGGGGCACTATGTCCAACAATATTCTTAACTGGTGGAATTCGGTGAGCATGCAATGAAGAAAGAAATGGCTGGTGATCATTTGCTAAACTTCTTTGCATGCTACTTGGTTGTAAAGTATCACAGGGTGTCGGGAGAGTCCATAGTGGTGATGAGGGAGGGATTATTGGGTTCACAGATGGAACATCTTTGCTACTGGTGTAACCAACTGATGGAGTTGCTATCTTTCCTGAGAGTACAGTTTTGGGTAATACAGCAGGACTTCCAGGATCTGCATTAAGTAAGCCTCAATTAAAACTAAGAGGACTAAGACACTAAATAATGAATAAATTAAGTTAGAAACCTGAACGCGATTGCAATGGCGTTTCAGGAGCATGTGATGTCTGAGCCCTTTCAAAACAAGCACGCCATAGTTTCTCCCAAATGCCTTTCCCACCATCTAGAGGAGGACACAGTAAACATATTTGCTTGCACATGTGGATAACAGAAGGTGTAGGAATAACAATCTTACCTGGACCACCAAATGCAGATATCATATGAGCCTCATCTGGTGTCGTCCCTTGGCTGTTCCAAAAAATCTCGAAACAGTCAAACTTCAGCAACATAATTAATAAAGCAGAACCCACACGAGATCTCGCGCTATATACGCAAACGTGATGAACACAGAAGATAAATAAACAAGAACAGAACTCCAAAGTTCTAAAGGGCAAACTGTAGTAAAAGGTAAGACTCAACACACAGGCAGAATGAAAAAGCCAAAAAAAACTCACATCAGAGCCCCGTAAACAAAAATCTGTGCACGCAATTGCACTTGTTGCATGTCTGTGAAAGGACGTCGCAAAAGACTCGAAAGGGCAGAAGAATTCAAGTTTGGCAAACTTGATGAGGGCATGGAAAAGTTCCCAGATGGTTTTACAGCAGGAGTCTCAGCATGAGGATTTTGCTGGTTCTCGGTAGATTGTGAGATCTGACCTGTACAAGGCGAACATTGATTAAAGACACTAGCTTTCCCGCATTGTAACTGTCTCGAAGGTGTTGTCTCTGTCACAGCATTTCCTTTTCTGGAAGCATCTTTTCCTGTAGATTTAGATGTTCCTTTTGGCTTACGCCTAGGTGTTCCTTTAGAAGTCCTTGCAGTTGTTCTCTCTAAGCTAGAAGGTACAGGAGATCCGTCCACAATCTTGACAAACAAAGAAACATATGCTCTCAGTGAGTCTAAAAAACGTTGTCGAGATGGAACTCTTTGAGAATAATGAACAAGTATGTTGAAAGAGAGAAAATGGCAGTACCGGAGAGACTAGTATAGCTCCTGAAGAGTTAATTGCTTGTAAAACTTCTCCCACTTGCTTCATTGATGAATCTGCTAATGGACTTGTATCGCAAGTTAAGCTCTGACCACAGGAAGCATAGGCTGTTTTCCCCACCTGAGATCCGCTGGGCATGAAAGGTTTATTGCCAATGGAGGAAGTAGAAGGATCCCCTGGATCAGTAACAGCTTTTTCCCTCCCAGCATCACAGTACTCTGCACCAGGCCCAGAAAATGTAGAAATGCATGAAGAATCTGCTATTTTAATCGTATCACCTGCAATATCTGTGACAGGGCCAAAGAAATGCCAATGAGTAAACTTCTAGGGATATTATAGGTCTGTACAAACAGCAAACATAGAAATTGGTAACCCGTCCCAGTATTAAGTGCACTTCTCCAAAGTGATAGTTTGTATAACATGATACACATACAGATAATGGTCTAGTGGAAATAATAAAGTTACAGTACTCGCATACCTTATCTTACTCAGCCGACAGAACACCATTTATACAAGAAGAAAGATTTCTCTCTGAAATAATGACAATATGAACTTACCTTCGGTGCGCAAAATTGGAGTTCCAGCATTCATATTGTCCATGGATTCCGTATTGTTCTTATCTTCTTGACTATCTTTTTTAACTTCAGCTCCAAGATTAGCCAGGGAACTACCATTAGGCTGTGCATTAATACTGTCCTTGTTAGGATTGAATTTTGTGCCTGCAGAGGAGGAGGAAGAGTATGTAGGCAACAAGAGTAACTATAAAGTCAACCAAACCATAAGATTTCATAGATACTCATAAATTCCTTCAAAGAGAAAACGTCATGGCTACTCATGGAATATCTATGAACCATACAAGCACAGGTCATTCTTTAAAATAAAGGACATATATGCATGCACATGGAAAGGGTATACAAGTACAATCATAACAGATTTTTTTTAATATGAGCAAAAGAGACAATTACAATATTTACTTGTGAGAAAAAAAAAAGTAGGATAGTAAGTCGATAAAACGGTCCACATGAGAAACACAATATTTGTATATATTTTCCATGCAAGACAAGAGCATGCCCTATCAAAACATTAATAATTTTGAGATATATAAAACAATATGAACAAATGCTCTAGATAACCACAAGCACAAAAGGATTTGGAAACTCAATAATATACTCACACAGCAATATGTAAACAGACAAACAAACATGTTCAAGTACTAGGCACAAACAGAAAAAAGATTACCAGACGCACTCTTCGATTCTGCATCAAGATATTCTTCTAGAATAGTTTTTGCAGATTTCTGCAGAATGGTTTCTCGTGCAGTATCCTGAGCTTCTACTTTCATAGACCCATCATTATCAGAACAGTTATCAACATTATTGGTACTACCGACTTGAACATCTTCATCATGCATACAAGCTTGTTTGTCCTTCTGATTCCCTGATCCACAGACAGCAGCAGGGGAAA